GGGTTTTTGGAATGTTTGGCAGTGCACATGACGTGTCCCTATCATAAGAGTAGATACCGATGGGAGTGATTCTACCAGACAGAATTCATTGACCTGAAAGGCACAGCTACATGCACATGTATGTCATTAAGAAAGTGGGTAAGAACACAACTTGCCTCACACGATGAACATCGAACAAAAGAAGCACAGTGCAATAATAATGGACACTCATTGTTAGTCCACTGCGTTTCTTTGGTGACATGTTTGTAGTGTCACTTCCAAACAAATAACTTGAAGGGCGTGTCAATCAAGATTCCTGAATTATTCATAAACCAACTGAGGTTTCCAACATGTACATGTAAGCTTGAAAACTTCAGGCTTCAGAAAAGTAACAGATGTATGAATTGAAGGTTCCCAAGGTAATTATACATTACAGACAGACTCCTTGGCAAAACCTTCCATAAATCATTTCAGTGAGTGGCTGGGTAGTATAAAACACATGTCTCCTTTTTTGACAATACCGGTATTGTTTTGTGGATTTTTTGTTTTGACGATACTGCTATCACCATATATTGGAGACTGCAAAACACTGCAACTCTGCATGAACGTTCACCCTGATCGCAAGATGCTCATACATCTTGTGATGACTGAGTTATGACATACATGTACCAGTACATGTTCATGATGTTGTAAATATTAAGAAGTTTTCCATTCCAACAATGACCAAATGTTTTGTAACTGATGAAATGCATGCATTGCTAGTGTAAATAAGTCTCAAAAGTAGGTATTAAATTTCAAATGAGACGAAATTTGCAAGTCCCTCATTAACACCTATTAACTCAACTAATAGCATGCAAGTTCATGCATCACTTTTACATGTACACGTATGCCTGACTGAGAAGGAAAAACATCTAGTGCACTAACAGGGTTCATTCAGACATTGCATATTAAACAAATACTGAATGTTACACATTCATGCCATGGACAGAATTTCATTCAGTAGAGTGAAATTTTCTATTCCTACATGTACATGGCCTCACCTTGCAGAGTAGAAGATTCAATTCACTTCAAAAAACATATTCTTACCACTCCTGAACATGCAACATGACTTTAACCCTTGTTGCAGTTCTGAACTTTTCTTGGATTAATAGGGTCCCTTCTTTTGACATCACAGTCATGTTATTCCTACAAGTGGCTGCTAAAACTATGGTTAGTTTGTAACTAACTACAATCGATTTGCCAAACACTGCCTTTCATCTTTTGATTAGAGAACAGAGGATTGAGTTGTGCACTGCACTCTTATCAATACAGTTTTCACAATGTGCACTGTCAACCTGATGTTTTTTTCAGTCCAGCCCATATTTTAAATTATGTTGATGATGTATTGACGGTGTACCTTTGTGGTTTAGGCTATAAATAATACAACTATGCAAGTTGTGTTGCACAGGGAGTTGACATTAGTCAGACCATGTAGGCCCTCTATATAATCACAGATCTACTGGAAAACCCCGCAAAATCTTAGACCGTTTAAACACTGGATGACAGGGCACGAGACTTGTCCGGTTATTGTTTGCCGTCCATCAATGACTCAGCATTGTGACATCATGGAATCGCCCTCGGAACATACATGTACAATGAGGCCATCATAAACAACACCCAGTTTGAACACATCGCGCTGTACCATTTTTGTATAGTCAGTAGGTTCTTGCGTTTATATCCTTCCTGTGAACGTGAACATGTACTTGCAACCATTTCTTTACGTATTACGTATTGTATTCGTATTGTTTATCCTTAACTTTTTATTTCTTACGAATTCACTTCGATGAAAATCAGCACCACCACCTCTGTTTTGAAATACATGCACTATACAGTACATACAAACACAAGTCAGAAATCCAGACATAAAATTATACATTTTTTCTTTTCATTCACAAGCTCATACCAGCGACTGAGTATGAGAGGTATATGTTTTTATAGTTCAACATTCAATACGCATGCAGAATAATCATGAATCAAAAGAATATTTTCAATCGCGAGTACGTCCCTCAATAATGGAGCACCCCTACGAAACATGGTACAGGTAAGCTCCTCAAATTATGCTAATGAGGCTGAATTTTAGCTAAATCAAGAAGTAATGTGAGTGGTCCATGCATTAACAAACTCACTGGACTCCAAATAGAGTCCACCTGTAAGAAGCAGAGGCTCACGACAGGCATGCCAATTCTCAAGCAGGAAGGGAATTAACAACAGTGTACAGTGAAAGAACCCTTTCTTTGGTTGAGACAGCTCTCTAAAACATTGAGGTTCAAGACATCGAAGAAGCCAATTTTCTTAGTATTTCTGTCACTGGGCCTGCATTATACTGCCTCGTTGAATGATTACTTAAAATGATTTTACAGTGGTGCACAACGTCTGTGTGGTGCTATATACCCATTTGAATGACACGTTTTGCAAAGGCAGGTCTTGTATGACATTTTGTCTGTAAGGCAGCATGGGTAAAAAAAGCCAGTTTAAGCAATCAGAAATAAGGGAGGGAAGACTGAATATTAGACTGTTAACATGCCAAATCATGGAAATGTAATCAAAATATTCAACCAAGGTACCAAAGTTACACACTGAAAAAAAATAAGTTGCCATGATTGATTGGTTTCAGTTTGGTTTTCCTTGAGAATAATGCATTTTCTATGGGTGGTCCTAAACTTTTGCAAATGATTGTACATGTATATCCCAAGTCAGAGCCCAGTATTGACGGAGGAGTGTACCTGCATGAAAGGCCTTGTTTACAGATCTAGCCAACAGGGCATAGACAACTTGACTGTTTAAAATTTGAATTAGGACAACTCAACCATTGAAACAACTCAACTGTGGGACAATCGACCATCTATGCCTCACATGGACAAACAACTCGACCGTAAGGACCAGTCATCAATTGAGACAAGTTGACTCGCAAAAAAGAGAAAAGACTGAGGACAGATTTACCATCTCCAACACTGGCAGACTAGCAACCAAGGCGCCTTGGTCATGTTTGTATCGCGGACGGTGTGTCGCATTACCACGCATTCCACGTCCCTGTTGCAGCCTTGCCAAATGTTGGTTGGGGTGCTGATGTGTCCTTCATTGGTCCTGTACATGCTGCGTCGCCAGAACCCTATGCATGGTATTCACATCATTTCTAGCAAGTCAACTCGCAATGTAACAAAACACCCACCACATCAATATGCAATCTATGTTTACTGCCATGTACTATGTCATGTTTATGCCTTGCACGGTTGACTTGTGTTAACAAATGACGTAATATGATTGAGTTGTCCAAAAGATCAAGTTGTCTTAACGGTCGAGTTGTCCCGAGTCAAGTTGTCCTATATCCTATGTACATACATGTACTGTGTACATGTACAAATACATGTACCAGTATCTAACGGTATACAAATAAAAGTAATGGGAGAATACCCAGTCATTCGAAAATACACCTCTGAAATCACAGGTTACGTGGGTACGAGGTGGAAATCCCCACCCCACAGTTTGGGGAATGTTAATTTTGGGGCCCCCTGTTTTTAGTTATTTTTACCTATAACAATCGGCCCTGAAAAAGAGTATTACTCGAGCAGTGTCTCTTGATTGTCATGGCTCTATTTGGGTTACATTTGGAAGAGTTATTTGGGAGCAAAATAGAACTCTTTTACCCCATGTCCGTCAATGTAAATGCACAGTCAACTTGACGCAGACTGTACGAGTTCTGGTTACACTTTCAGTTACAGTATTCTCTTCATCAATACTCTTAGTCCTCAATCTGGTTATCTCGACCAACCAGATACTGGCTTTCCCATGAAACTTTCCAGTAACCAATCATGAAACTTTCCAGTAACCAATCAGAGACAATTATTACCAAGCAGGTTTCACAATATCGCCATATGGATGCATACCATGCAAGCGCAGTCTGGCTGTTTTCTTCAATACTCTTACTCCCCTGTCAGCTCATTTCGACCAATCAGAGAGATCAGCTTTCTAATGAAACTTTTCAGTTGCCAATCATGTTTATTTCTAGTGGACGCAGTTTCCCGTAATACATGTAATTGCCCTCAAATCTCAAAACCCTGCCCTCTTTCTACAAAATTAACCCTGCAGTTCAGCGGGTCATGCTATTTAGCGTCAACAAGCGTCAACAAAGCATCAAGAAGTTATTCAAGCATATTTATGCAAAAAATTATATGTACATGTACAATATTAACTGGGCATCTACGAATCATATTCACTGTATCACATTTATCTAAAATGATATTTGAGTGTGGCAATTTGAGTGACAATGTCAAACCGGCCGCCCTATTGTTACTGCATGGACAGCAGAAAAAAGAAAGATGGCGGCCCCCTCACATCGCAAATTTTTGTTGTCGTGTGTGAATCTGGAATAAAATTCCCTGGTTTTCTTACACAGTGGAACATGTTAGCGTCTGTAAATTATGATAAAACCACTCTGAAACCTCTGGAGGTTATTTTCAAGTTGTTGACGCTTTCTTGACGCTACTTATGTGTGTTGACGCTTGTTGAAACTAAATAGCAAGACCGAGATCATCAAAATAATATCACTGTCACGTACTTATTTTTGTAGGCAAGTCTGAAAGCTGATATAGAAGAGGGATCCTACTCCTAGAATAAGCCCTTTTCACGTTTAATGTGTACACGCTCAGAAGATTTAGGGGACAAATTCACGACAACGTTGTTGCGTAACGTTTGGTGAATGGATGCTCACAATTGTTATTGTCGTACACAATTTGTTTTCCTCTAGCTTTGTTCACTTTCTCGCCTGGGGGGCTAATCAACATGGTGATGGAACGGGAAATTGGCTTGTGGAGGGTGCCTTACAAAGTAACAAACTCCCACACCACCTACACAGTTCTGGCATGTCTGGGGGGAGGAAATCCCCAGAACAATGTGGCATTTTGACCTCATGATAGTCCGCAACAAGGTGGATCACGCAAAGTGGCGAGGTATTCTGCAATTGAGCTGAAAAGAAAAACATTTACCAGTCATGAGAACTCGATGCGTCGTCTTGTTTTTGTACTTTCGGCTGAATGACCGAATTGGCATTTGTCATAACATCGACGTCACCCTCGAAGTCCAATCCACATTCATGTCGATGCGCCAGGCAACGCTTCATTGCAAATACATGTAGGCCTACTAGGCTACCCCGATTTTTCGCAAAACAAACATCTGAAGAAAAATATCTCTGTTAACCACACTCAACCCGTTTAATACTTTGGCTTTGACATTATCAACCAAAACCTAGCCGAAGTAGAGCCACACGCATTGATTAACTTTCCGAACTAGGATTTAGTACTAGTAAGTTGTAACACGCAAATGCACGCTCGATCTGTTGAGGCTGGGAACCACACCATTCAAATAGCACCTGACTACATAGCTCCAGGCAAGCTAAGCGCAACTATACCCAGCAAGAAATGAGACCGAGGGGTACCCCCCCCCCAACAAGTCCAATCCCTATACACATTCCAGACTATTGTTACTTAACACATCCCCCCAAGATGTCTGAAAGGAATTCCCCAGATTCCTGTGAGACAATGACTAACACAAAGCGGGGGGGGGGGTTCTCTCCGTCTCATACCTTGCTGCATATGAGCGCAACTGTACAGGCCGGTGCAGTAAACATGGTGAATAAAAAGTCCGTTGAAAAGTGTAAAACAACAAAATCCGGGGCTCAAGCCGACATTACTGGAGTTCTCAAACAAAAGTTAAATTATTGTCTCGACTCTACTCTTTCCATTTCTTTTTAAATTGTTAATTGTTCTTAATCATTAACACAACACAAAACCACCCCTCGAAAAGTGATAGTTCCCAAGAATGCTCCGAGCCACTTTTCTACTTTCCCGGGCACTGCGGGGACAGTTTTCCATCAGTAATTTTATCAACTCTGCCCTAGGATGGAAGCCTCCATGCTCAGGGAGTTGATCTTGGCCTAAATTTCCACAATCCCTCAATTCTATTTTTCTAAAGAAGCTGTGTGTCACTTTTTATGCAAGTTCACTGCACCCTTACAGTATTCGTGCTTTTGCTTGTCTGAAAGAAAACGAAGTTTGGTTTCAAATTTGAATGCCTGGATTTCCTTCCAACTTTTTTAATTTTCAAGGGCAGATCTTGGGGCCATGCCCCCCAAAGGAGGCTGTTTTATTTTGAAAAATAATCAAAGAACATTATGTAGCCTCAGTCTCACCCCTGAGAAAGTCAATGAGTTTTATTCTCAATTTTTTATGAAAGAACATAGGTCTATCTTTGGTCAATTTTATTTCCCCTCCAAAAGCGGGAAGAGGGCCTTCGTTTCTTGAAGGTCATAAAGACCAAAAAAGGCCCCAGAAAGACCATAAAAGGTATATAAATAAAAATCTATATTTTTCCTCCCTCCCTCAAAAGAGTTTGCCTTCCTCTCCCCCCCCCGAAAAAAAATCCGCCGCGAGCCTTTAATCAAGCCGCGTGTGGCACCTTGGTGCCTCAGCTGGTAACGAAAAGACGAGTGAAGCCAATCGCACTATAGGTACATATAGAGTAGGGGGAAGATGCTGGGTCTAGTCCACGCCTCTTTTCCCTGTGTACTTACCCAGAAAAAAAAATTAAGATTTAAAATTACCAACGGGTACCGACCCAGTAAAATTTTTCAAAACAACATTTTAAATCTCTTATTTTATGTGTGAAAACAGGTCACTGCCGCCAAGCCAAGGTCGTGACGTACTGTTGCCATGGTGCGGCGAAAATTGGAAAGTGCTTGTTGCAACAATCTACTGGTACGAGCAAGGATTGCTGATCAAACGTTGCTTCGCTCATGCGAAAAATAAAAAAAACAGCTTAAACTTGTTCAGGAGAACTACCGCCATTCTCTTTTTTACTCTCGCAGGCTATGATGCATCACCATACCAAACCTTACACCAACGTATCAGGTAAATGGATGTCTATTCTGATGTTAATTTTTAAAAAGAGAGAGATAGTTTTTAATTTACAAAATCCTTGATCTGTTATTTTTAATTTTTTTTTGATTAACGACAATGGAAATATCAAGACAAACCAGTGCATGAGTTGACGTGTGTTATATCTTGCTCGAGAAAACTGCTGATGACTAATCGCTCGGAAGAAAGTTTTTAACTATCTACCTGACATGAGTAATCCGCCATCATTACCATTTTTACAAATGTGTATTGACGATAAGTGGAGTGGATGAAGTGGATGAAGATGCGGATGAAATAGAGGACTTGGAGGAGCAACCGAAACGGACAAAAAATACTGTTTCTGTGCAGTCTGTTGATGACAAACTAAAACAAGAACATCAACCACAACGAGGCAAGCATGAGGAACCATTCCTGCCTGGGATGATGCACGTTGAAGTTTATCTAAATTAGCAAAATGTGTAAAAGAATATAACGAGATATATAACAATAGAGAAAACCGTGCTCACTAGCTGGAAATATCATTTCAAACATTTCAGCGAAACAAGAAAAAACGACAGGTACCTACACAAGATTTAAGTTATTGGCTAAAATAAAAATGTAGTGTTAAAAAAGGGCAAAAACGTTAAGAGAATTTTATAAACTTACACCGATTATCCTCAATTACTTTGTTTCCGCTTACCGTTGACTTTTTTAAGAAAAAAATAACAAAAAACGTACAAGGATGTGTTTTAGTATTTGGCAAGATATTGGTTCTAATGGTCTAATCTTTTACGCTGTTGTTGTGATAACTGCGGACCCATGCATGGTATAACAAGGCGTAAGGCAATATCCCTCATTATATAATTTTAGGTTTTTTAATGCAACGCAAATTTTTCTAAACTTTATGAAGCGGCGGCTCTACCTGCTTACCGGCTGCAAATAGCTTTTAGCCCAAGTAAGGAGGAGCGGTAGGCGGTGCTCTTACACTGTTCCTTGGTGGAGTGGGAGCCCACAGCCTAGAACAAACAACTCAGCGACTTTAATACAGCTTGATGTGATTCTCCAAGTTTTTTCAACAGATCTTTTTTTCGTCAAACATCTCCCTCGCGATAATTTTTGCTTTCTCTTAAAATATTGAACAACTTGTTCAATTTCTGCCGTGTCTTGTTTTTAATTTCCTGAATTTTAGTACTTCCACACACTCTCACGTATTCAACACAAATTCTTCATGAGAGATGTCGCCGTCGTTTATTGCGTGAGCCACGTATTCTTCTATCGTGTTTAGTTTGTCGTCGGCCAAAACTCGCATTTGATCGTGGTTCTTTAATTTCACGTTCAATCTTTTACCTGCATGCCGAAGCAAACCAAACGCTCCAAAACCTACAGGTCACTTCTAAAACCAGTCCCACAGGAGCAGAAAGAGCGACCAAGATTGCTGGGATACCCACTGTACCTGAAACAACAAGCCTACGGTTTCACTCCATATTCTGCCTATTTTATCGCGGTGAACAACCACTTAATTTTTTTACGTAGTTTCTCCTTTTTTCGCTCTGTCAAGATCTGAGATTTTATTTGTTCGACTTTGTGGAATCTGTAAATATTTGTTTCTTCTTTACTGTCGCTTCTTAACGGTAGAGAAAAGTAAAGGTTTTCACTCCTTTTTTTCCTTGTTTTATATTAAGCTTTAAAAAAGCCTTAAGCTTTGAAAAAACTTTAAGCTTTCAACAAAAACTTTAAGCTTCGAAAAACGACTTCTCCCCTGTTGGTTTTTTTTCAACCTAGTTCTCCATATGAAGGTCAAACTAGTTAAAGTTAAAGTCGACACTTCCCTCGTTTCTGTGAGGGCGCTCCTGGTTCTCGTTTTTTCCTCTTGGTTGTTTTTGTTAAATCCGTATTGTATAAATTCTAAAGCTAGTCTTCTACCTTCTGTGATGAATTCACCTCCATCTCGCAGTAAAGCCACCAAGCTCGCAGCAGAAATTTGTTCATCGCTTAGTTCCCTTCAATACTATATTCAGAAATAGGACTAGGCCCTATAGTTTATCATTACTATTTTGGGGTGTCAATTTAAGTTCTGTTTCAATCATGCGCTTTTCTTTAAAACCTTTCCCTTTCATATCCGTTAACGGAATCGTGTAGGCCTAGTACTCGATGAAAACTTTTCCCGCTGGGTTTGGGTATTTCACCGATGGGCATTATTAACGGAAATTTCTCTTTCTCGAGCTCTTTCAGAGGGTCTGCCATCTGCATGCGTTTGCCAATCGATTTCGATGGCGTTGGTAATGTTAAATACCCTGCGCGGAACACAACTTTTTAATGCGCATGGATTTATAGTCGTCCAGGTTTTCATCAACGTCTTGCAACTGAAACGTCTGCTCGTTCTTACTCAAGTAAAAAGAGTGTGTTGTTACCACTTTTAAAAAGACCATTTTAAAAAGTTTTTTTAAAGAAACCATGGGAACCAATTTCAGTTACTTCCGTCGTGAACAAGGACAACTTTTTATTTGCTGAGTTTCCCAACTTGACAAAAGCTTACAAACTCCCACGTGTGAAAACAGAGGAAGCCGTCTACCGTTAGACCAGCGACCCTTTAAAGTTGTACTGTGCTTCGACGGCTTTAGGAGTTGGTTGGGATCTTCTAAACGATTAGGTGTAGTCAACATAATCGTTCCCGGCACGCGTCTAAACTCGCTTTTAAACTAGACTTGGACGGTGTTTCAGACGATAACAGAGGCGTATACAATAACATGGCTCGCAACTTGGTAAAAGAAATTAACGTCAGGCTTCAACAACACAGCGACCAGAAATATGGCTCACTTTGGCCTCGAAAACGTGCAGGACAAACTCAGACTTGGAGCCGCAGATGGAAAAGACAAAGCGATCGCCGACGCGTTTGGTAACCACTACGCGATTCCTCTGGACATCGAACTGTTAACCGACTACATTCCATTTTACTCCAACGCTTTGAAACAGCCTTCGACCTAAGAATTGTTTAACGTTTCAAAGATGTCTCCAGTATACCGTCAGATTTTTCGAACAGTGTAGTGCAAGTGAAAATTAAAGCCAAAGTTAATGTTGGCTTGCTTTGTAATCAGAGACTCAACAAACCGTTTTGAAGTGTCTGGTCCTCTATACATCTGTTGACTAGTGCACTTACCATCACATCGAACGCAACAACGTGAGAATAACCGCAAGATTTGTGCTCGCGTCTGTTTTTCTAGTATCGATTCAGAATCTGCGTAAATCATGAAAAGTGCATCTTGCTTGTGTTTGTAGATTTTAAACTTCAAAACGGTATAGTCTTTGTCCGGAAATACGAGTTACGATGAAGCGCTGTCTATACCTTGACAATCTTGTTTGTGCGCGTCTAACTTGACTTAAAAATGAGAAAGACAATGTTAACCGAAATATATCTTGTGTTAGTGTGCCCTGGCTT